ACTCCCTTCCATTCCTTCCTCTCCAACCACCTTGTCAACATGTACTCCAAACTCAACCTACCCAACTCAGCCCAACTTGTCCTCTTACTCACCCCCAACCCTTCTGTCGTCACCTGGACTTCCCCCATCTCCGGCGCCACCCAAAATGGCCTATTCTCCACCACCCTCCTCCACTTCTCTAACATGCACCGCTAGGGTGTACAACCAATGACTTCACCTTCCCTTGTGCTTTCAAGGCCTCTGCTTCGCTTCAATTGCCGATCACCGGAAGACAACTTCATGGCTTAGCGATTAAACCCAGCCAAATCCACGATATCTTTGATGGGTGTAGTGTATTCAATATGTATTGTAAAACGGATCTTAGAGAGAATGCTTGTAAGGTGTTTGATGAAATGCCTACAAGAAATGTTGTGATTTGGAATGTGTATATTTTGAACTCGGTGCTTAACGGGCAGCCGAAGAGTGTTGTTTCGGCGTTTATTGAGTTTCGACGTGTTGGTGGGGAGCCTAATTCGATTACTTTTTATGGGTTTCTCAATGCGTGCTCAGACGCTTTGGATTTGAAGCTGGGGCGACAGTTGTACGGGTTTGTGATTCGATATGGGTACAAGGCAGATGTCTTCCATAGCAAATGCATCTTTGGTCTTCCATGTCACTTGCACTCCATCTTCCTTATGTTGAGCTCGATTTTTCCAGATTTCTTGACCCTCTATTCTTCATTCTCTCTCACCACCAAACAGATGCTTTGTTTTTTTTTTTTGGTTGGGAGCTTGCCTCTGTTATAGAGTAGAATGGAGGTTGCATATGGCTCAAAGCCCACTTATATTCCCTTCAAAAGATAGTTCAGGGGGACAGCTCATTACATTCCATCCAATTATGGACGGAAGGTGACGGCAGGAGTCTAATTGATCAATTTGTTGAAAGTTCGGGTACTAAATTGAAATAAATAGAAGTATGGGGGTGCGCATGAAAAACGAGTGATAGTTTGGGAGAGAAAATGATACTTACTCTGAAACTATCAAGTGAACCTTGAAAGATAAATAACTCAAGTACTGAAATAGCACATTATCTCATACTCTTAACACTTGTAGCACATTCAAACTCACTATGTGAAAAGAAAGGACACAAAGTAAAACAAAAAATAAACCCAACAAAAGTAACATATTAACCAAATTTTTTAGATTGATATAATTGAGTTAATTAACATTGAAAAGAGACAACCAATTCAAAACTATCTTCTATATGTGACCAATAGACATTTTAGCTTAAGTGACATTGTCATATAAAGCTGCCTTGCTTTAAAACTATGTTCACCAACACTCCATCAAGTTCAAATTTTAAAATTTTAACTTTTGTTTTGCCATTTTTGTTTTCATTTATTTTTTGCAGTGCTTGCTTAAATATAGAAAATAAGGGTCCGGCATGTAATCAAGTTGCTCGAGACATGAGGTCTCTATTTTGACACAGGGAGCTTGAATGTGCTACAAGTGCTAAGAGTATGAGATAATAGGCTATTTTAGTACTTAAGTTATTTATCTTTCAAGGTTCACTTGGCAGTTTTAGACAGTTCTCAACTTCGTTCACATAGTTTTATTAGAGAGTTTGGATGTATTGCAAGAAATTATTTATGGTGTATTTAGTTGTGCTATTAATTAAGTAGGCATCGTTAATTAGTTTTGCTAGCAATGTTCAATTTAGGAGTATTGCAGGCATAAGTAATTTTTTTTTTTTTTTTTTGTGTGGTATTTCAGATTTTTAGACTTTGATTTTGTCATTTTAATTTGCCAAATTGTTAGAAGGCTAAAGGAACTTTTTACCCTATGTCACTATTTGTATATGGCCATTTCACTAGGTGGTAATTTTTATGGTTATAAACTTCATATTAGAATATTGAAATATATAGAATTACTAAATCATTCTATTTTTTATATGTTATTAGAAGGATAGTTGGTTTTAGAAGAAATCAAAATGTATGCAAGTATCTTTAGGCACGAGTCATCCGCTAGAAGGGTCAGATTAGAGATCAAGTGTTGCAACCTACAATCTCTCAAGTTGAGTCAATTTTGTAAAACCATTTGGTGACATGTCAGAGTCATTTGACTCCTTTCTAACACTTTATTTGAAAACAAGGAATTGTTGGTTAAATGTTATCTAATGCAGCACTATTTTGTCAAGTTCAAATTTTAACTTTTATTGTGCCACATTTTTTTTTTTCATTTTTTTTTTTTTTGCAATGCTTGCTTAAATATAGAAAATAAGTGTTAGGCATGTAATCAAATTGTTCGAGAGATGAGGTCTCTATTTTTTGTGATTTAGTAGATGTCACGCCCCCAAAATATAATAAATAACCCAATTCATCATAGTAAACATGGCATAATTTATATATTTCCATTTAATAGAGTTCGTATGACAAAAGATAATACATGCTTCATACATTCATAAATGTTCATCATGAATCTACAGCATGTAATACCAGTAAGTATTCAACAAAGAAAATACCCTAAGAGCTTACATCTTTCCAAGACAAGGCTTGATACAACAAAAGTGAGCTTCGCTCACTACAACTTAAGCCCTTGGCTTTACAAAAATATACAAAATACAAAACAAAGAAGCTCTTGCTTCACAACAACCCTCCATTTGCTATTGCCTTGGCGGAGGCATTCCGTCATTACCTGAAAATGTTATTCCCAAAATAGGGTGAGTCACCGCCCAGTAGAAATAATCTAACACAATATATGATGTTTAACAAATATATAAGTACAGTTCGAGTATACAATGACCTAGATAAAACATTCACAGTTTCACATGTTCTAGGGACATCATATTCAAATCTTAATTCACTATTAGTTCGTTCAATCCTTTCAATTTATAAATCAAACATATCATCTTTCAATACTTAAACCGGAATAATTACCCGTTGGTTTTCCAATTACACATTACATGTACATAAACACATCAAATCATGATTTCACGGATATTTCGTCTGCGGGCTACTGTTAAACGGGACCCATGTAAACGTAGGCTATACAAGCACTACAATTATCTTTTCACAGATATTTCGTCCGTCGGCTACCGTCACACGGGACCCATGTATAGTTCCGGGACTTTCACCCAGGACACTCCGGCCAACTTAATTATAATGGAGTCCACCCCCTTTCTCCTCTCACACAATGGAATCCATCCCCTTTCTCCTCCCAAACAAACATACATATGCAATGTACAAATAACATAATCATATTCAATGATAATCAACCATGGGATAGTTTCAATTCACCTAATCCACATGCAATTTCGACAACAATCATGGCTATACTCCAGTGATAGCCCAATACAGATATTTCTAAACATATATACAATCTCAACAAATAGTTTATTCAAAAATTTCAAAGGTATAAGATAATACATATCTAATTTTACCTTTCGTACTAACAATCTTTCAATTTCACATTTTCAATACCGATTTCCATCATTTATACAAATTAACAATTTAGTTCAATTTGGGCAAAAATCCCTTTTTTCCAAATGTCAACCCTAGTTTATCAAATTGACTCCCTATAATCTCATATTCAAGTCCTCAAATTTATTTGTTTCATAACCACCAAAAATCTCTCTTTTCATTCACACCCAAACCTTAGGTTGGTTCAAAACATTCCCAAATCCCACCATTGTCACACAACTGCAAATAACTAAGCTAAAAACCATATTAAGGTGTAGAAAATCCCTACCTCAAAAGAAGAAGATGAGCCAAGCAAGAGAGGAACTTCAAGAATGGCGAAACCCACTTCCACTCGGATCAAAATGTAGATCTTGACGAGCTCCAACTTTTTCTCAAAGGCGCTAGGGTGAAAAGGTCGACGGATCTTGATGAAATCCTAGAGAGAATGTAGATTCTAGAGAGAGAAGCTCAAAAACAAGCGTTTTGGAAAGTTTTAGAGAGAGAAAAGAAAAAGTGATTCAAAAAGTCATCTTCTCGAACTATTAGACACGCAGTCCAATCGAGCATGGGATTCTCCGCTTGAACGTGAAAAGTGGAGCTCGAGCGTGGAATACACTCCTACAGAAGTTTTGCAGACGAAGGTCCCCGTTCGAGCGTGGGAATGGATGCTCAAGCGTCCCATGCACTCTTCTAGTATTTTCAGAACTGCAAAAGGAAATGCTGAGGGTTGACAATTCACGCTCGAGCGTCAGAATGGCCGCTCGAGTGGAGGAGCAAAATTGTGAAGCCCGCTCAAGCACAAGAATGCCCGCTCGAGCGTGGAAACCAAAATCTGGGCAACAAGGTTTTGAAAAGAAAGACAACCAACCTGTTCCAAATGCACAACTATAACTCAATAACCAAAACTTTAGGGGGAGAACAAGGGAACAAGATATAAACAATCATCTAAAACCAAACAACTCAAGTCCGAAAACCAACAAATGACGGGTCAAAACCGGAGTCGCCATAGTAGAGATCCTTTTATTATTTGATTTTATTTGACAACGAGTTTAAGAACATATGAGATGTTAATACACTCTATGTGTAAATTGAATGATTAATGTTTTATTTTTGGCTAGCTAGGATGATTACTATTTTGTATCAAAATATTCATTCATCCATTCCAAAAGGTATTGAAATATGATAAGGCGAAACAGTTACTAGTTATGATACTAATTCAGTAATATTCTTTTATTGAAGGTTTGTTATACATGTGTCATTTTAACGTGGATCGAATTATAAAATTTGCTATTTGGACTTAAGTTTTAGCAGATCTTTTTTAGATTCTTTGCTTATGCTACACTGGAATATAAAACTCATTATGTGGACTTTATTTTTGAAGTTTGCTATTTGAGATTTATGAATATTTTTATCAGTTCAATGTGTAGAAACAATTTCAGCTTCTTATTTGTGAAGTTATAAATTGAAATAAGATTATCATTTGAATTGATTTATTACAATTGAATTCCATAACAGATGTGATACCAAAAAAATTGATGGTCGTGCCTTCAGGCACTGGTTATTTCTAATATTTAACATGGAGAAGAGGGGGAAAAAAGAACTTCCTTTTTTCTTTTTCTTTTTTAACCTTAAATGTTTTCTCTTCATTTTCTCGGCAACCAAATAGAAATTTAATTTGCTGGGGATAGAAAGAGACCTCGAAGGCGTGGCGGTCGCAGAAAAGCGGCCTCCTGTGGAGGTGATCTCTGATGTGTCGGAGATCGGAGGAGGTAAGTTTGCGGCCTTCAGAGACCCATTTTTGGAGGATGTTGGAGGTGCCGACTCTGGGTAAATAAAGCCTGGATATTCTGCTCTTGAGATCATCGTGTTCGCCATTAAAATCTCGAGTTCCTTCATCCTGAGAAGTATGAGACTCTTTCACAATAACTTCACTTCTCGATGCACTTGATGAGGAGAGAGATCTGGAGAGACTCCTTTGGCCTCTGCAATTTCTGCCCAAAAAAAAAAGTAACTAGTTTCACTCATGAGAGCGAGAGTAAGAGAGAGAGAAAGGGAGAGAGAGAGAGAGAGAGAGAGAGAGATAGAGAAAGAGAGAGAGAGTTTTAGGGTTTGAGAGTATGCATACCTAGTGAGAGCGAGGAAGATCGAGCGAGCCACCATTGCAAGTGCTCGATCAAGTTCAAGCCCGCTTTCGTTTCGATTAAATTAACTACCTATTCATACTATTTTATTTTTTAAAATTTTTTTTAAGCAAATGTTAATGGTTAGATTAGCACCTATGGAAAAAATCTCTCCACTCTTAACAAATCACTTAAGTGCTTGCACGCCTATAATTTAACCCCTTAAGAGGAATTGAACCCATAACTTTTTTGAAACTAAGCCCTAAGAAAGGTATGGTGGCCAACTAGATTAAGCCTAGTTGGTTTGCCCTATTCATACTTTATAGTCATGCCTGAAAATGTTTATAATTTAACTTTATTTAACATAAATTTATTTTTATCTTTTCCTACATTTTTTTATTTTTTTTTTATCAGTATCAAAGTGTTCGGATTAAAATCTAATTGATTCTCATGATTGCACTGACTCGGACAAAGAATTTCTTGTAAATACATCATGATTAAATTAAGGAGTTTCTTATGCCATTTTTAATAATTCAACAATTTTTTTTTTGAAGTCACTAGGTTGACATTTTAAACAAACAAAGTTGAGACTCGTTTATGATTAGTGTTTTTTTTTTTCATTAAAAACAGTATTCTTTATCAAATATATTTTATTATTTTATTTAATATCTTATATATTTTACCACATCTATATGTACTTGGTACTGGTTGAGATATACCAGACTTGATGGGATAGAACTATGACCATGATCATTATCATTATGTGATATTGTTGTTGATTACTTCAATCTAAGTTGAATTTGCAATCTAATTGTTATTCTCCTTCAATCTAGTTGCAATCTTAACAACTAGATGACTTCAAACTCAACGAAGGAGAATAACAGGAAACTTCAAAATGAATTTGCAATCTAGTTGTTAATCTCACTAATTTTTTAATTTTTTTTTCCTTCCTTGGTGTGTACCAAATTGGAGTTCATATGGTGAAATATATACTATAGTGTTCTTCCAAATATTCCAATAATATTTCTCCAAAATAATAAATATTTGGAGAAGCCTTTTAGCTCAAGCTTTGCCTATATTAGTGGGTTCGCATAGAAAAGGAATTTCAAGAAAGAAAAATTATATTTTTTTTCTTGTTATTTTTAATTTTCTTTTTCTGTACAGAATAGGTATATTGGATATAATTTTAATAGCCAAAACTCCACTAACTCATTGATGTAATTATAGAATGTCTCAACAATGACTGTTCTAATTTATTGTGTAGTGTTAGTCCATTTCTGGGAAATTTGCATTTAAAACCTCCTTTATAATAGTTGATGGGTAGATATTAGGCTGGCCACAGTTAAACCACCAGTCCAAAGAATTTGGAAGCCCAGTTGGCCTCGAACAATTCGAGATTTGTTGGACTTGGACGTGACTTGGAATGGCATCCGATCTTTGGGACGACTTTAGGCAGAGTTTACAGTAACAAAGGAAAGAGAGAAAAGCACATGAAAGGATACGGAAAAAGGATGCATATACTGCAAATCAATGAACACTAACACAAAAACATACCTCATTCTAGTCAGTGAGGCATTTTATTAATCTCCTTTTTTCCCGCATCAGTATAGATTTCGCTAAGAAGCTAGATCCTTTTTGACATGACAAAACAGCTCATTAGCTGTTAAAAGAAGCACAGACAATAAGTCGAACAGCAAAACAAAAAAGGAAAACAATTAAAATCCAGCCTGTTAGACGCACAGCCCAGGGCCCAACATAACAGCCGGCTTCACAGGTTTGTCCCATTGGGCTCCAACCCAAAAGGTGCCTCCCCAGTTGAGGTGTTCTGCACCATCATACAAGTCTATTCTGAATATCATCCACAACCGATGTGGGATGCCAACATCCCCACCTCAAAGCTGGCAACAACCACGACTCTGATATCAGACAAGCAGCCCAACCCTCATCTAGAGGTGTAGTCTGTTATAGCCCACCCCAAAATCCAGTCTAACGGGTTTGTCCTGCTCCAATCCAAAATATGCTACCCCAGCTAAGGTGTATTGCACCGTGTTATAGGTTCATCCTCGACATCGTCAGCAACAAATGTGGGATGCCATCCAACAATTAAAGTTGCTATTAATATTTCAGTAGAATCCAGTGTTGGGGTGAGACTTGGAGAGAATCAAACAAAACAAAGATTAAATGAGACCTGAAAGAACACTGAAATGTGGTCATCTACTTTTCCGTTGGAGCATCCCTTCCCTTTAGCATTCAGTAACTAGAACTAATCATCATTGAGTTCATTGATAGAGATTAGTAGCATTCTTTTTACACGCTCCCATCTCATCAATTCTTAATAACCCCAGAAATTATCATCTCTACCTCGACCAAAACACAATGAAACTCAAACCCTAGCATAATTTTTTGTCTACAAAATTGTTAATTCTCTCATCACACCTTCAATCATAGTTGACCAAGAAACCAAACTTCAAATGCGCAAAGCAATATACAGGTCAAAACAAAGAGACCCATTCTTCCAATTGGAGACAGCAAAGAGGAGGAAAAAGAATTTCTTTTTTATGTTCTCTCTTCATTTTCTCAGCAACCAAACAGAAATTTAAATTGCGGGAGAGAGAAAGAATCCTCGAGGGCGTGCTTGTAGCGTCGAGACTTGCGGAGGTCACCGAAGATGCGTCGGAGGTCAGAGGTGGTAATTTTGCGGCCTTCAGAGACCCATTTTTGGAGGACGTTGGAGGCGCTGCGTTTGGGGAGTCTAAGCCTGAATATTCTGCTCTTGAGATCATCGTTTTCGCCATTTCCATCTTGATGTTCTTCATCCTGAGAAGTATGAGACTTTTCGACAACAACTTCGTTTCTCGATGCGCTTGATGAAAAGAGAGATCTGGAGAGAGTCCTTTGGCCTCTACAATTTCTGCAAAAAAAGGACCTATGTTCACTCAGCTTAGAGAGAGAGAGAGAGAGAAAGAGAGAGAGAGATTTTGGAGTATGCATACCGAGTGAGAGCGAGGAAGATCGAGCGAGCCGCCATTGCAGGTGTTCGATCAAGTTCAAGCCCGCTTTCGTTTCGTTTCGTTTGTTATATTAAGAGAAATGTTAGGGATAAAAAAAAATTTTAATTAGTGTGTGATTTTTTATTTTAATTGTAATTTAAATGTCATAAATTTTTTATGATCATTTTTATGAAATATCTTCTATAATACTTAACATTGCTGTTATATTAAAGGTAAATTAAGTAATTAACTATTGCCCTGTTAACTACTTTAACATAAATTAATTTTATCTTTTCTTATGTTGTTTTGTTTTGGGGATCAAAATCCGATTGACTTTCATGAGTGCACAGACTCCGATAAAGAATTTTTTTTTTTTTTAAATACACCACTATTAAATTTAGGAGCTTCTTAAGTCATTTTTAATATTATATACTCTCATTTTATGTATTTTTATGAAAGCCATTCTGTGGAAAAATTCTGATTTTTTTTTTAACGTTAATGATAATACACAGTTGCATGATTTTTTTGAAATCTATTTTTGGGGTTTTGAATTTGTTTTGTTTTTGAACTTTAACTTAGCTTATATACACAGTTATATGCACAGTTATCAATCAATTGCATATATACACAGATATGCACAGTTATATGTAGCTTAATATATCAGTCAATTCAAATTGTTTTTGAACCTTAGCTTAGCTTAACTGTGCATATTTTGGGAGATTGTTTTGTATTTTGTGAATTCGTAAATTGCATATAACTGTAAGACCAAAATAATGTAACAATTATATGGTGGTAGGACGACGGGGCGACTGGAAGGCAGGGAGGAGCAGCCTCTCTCTCTCTTCTTCTCTCTCTCTCTCTCTCTCTCTCTCTCACACACAAACACTCTGTTTTCCTTTTCTTCATTCCACCTTCTGCTATACCTGCGTATACGGAGGGAATATGAAATGAAATTTTTTTTTTTTTTTTTCAACAAAACGACGTCGTTTTGGTTAGTTTTAATTTCAGCCATTGGATTGGTAACTTTAGGAGATCACTCTAGGCTTTTCAATTTAGAGGATCCTAACGCAGAAAGAAATTCATTAGTTGTATGTTATGAATAAAAAATAATATTATTATCTCTTTTATATTGAAATATACATTTTATATTATTTAGCGTTGTGTTTTCATGCAACTTATATTAGTTTTGATTTCTTTAACCTTATTAAAATTGAATTTAGTCTAATTATATTAAAATTTTAAAACTTGTTATATTTTTTTCAAATCTCAGAGAAAGTTAATGTAATTTACCCTTATAGTAATTATCGAATAAAAAGTAATTATTTATATATTAACTAATAAACAAAAATGAATTTTCAGATATTAAAAATATGAAATTTTGTTCCTTGATTAATATATTCAAACATAATTTTTGTTCGATAATTGATGATAAAACGAAAAAATATGTACCAAAATATTTTATGATGTGCAAATAAAAATTCATGTTAAATGTGTATTTAAAATAAAGAGAAGTTAAACTTTGGGAAAATTATTAGAAAGTTCTATTTACCAAACTGTTACTTTCTATGGTCCCACATTTATTCTTTTGGATTGGCAAGTCCTGTTTTGTACATTTTATAGACAACCAGGTCCCGTTTTCAAAGTATGTAATGTATGGGTAGATGGATTTGCCCTTTTTTGTTATTTTCATGGACATGTATTGTGGAATTAAGGGAAGATTTTGTGAGATACATTACTGCTTCACGTCTGGTAATTTGGATTCCATGTTTTTCGGGTGTGAGAAATCTGTGGGTCCCGCGAGAGGGGAGAGGATTATTGTGAGTTGGCAAAGCAGGGTTTCGTTATTTTATTAGTGGTGATGAGAGCATACTAAGAAATTTTTATTTTTTATTTTTTAAGTATCACATCATACTCGTTATGTTGTCACGCTCGAGAAAAGTACACTAAGGAATTTTTATTTTTTTTGAAGTGTCACATTATATCTGCCACGTTGTCACGTTTGAGAAAAGTACACTAAGGTGTTTTTATTTTTTTTAGCGTGTCACATCATACCCACCACGTTGTCACGTTTGAGAAAAGTACACTAAAGAGTTTTTATAATTTCACATCATGTCCACTACGTTGTCACGTTTGAAAAAAGTACACTAAGAAGTTTTTATTTTTTTTAGAGACATTTCTACCATTCCTCATTGGAGGACGCCATCTTAGGGAAGTTGGATCCAATTTTTGAATCACGTTTTTGTCATTCCAATATAACAACGTAGCACACTAAAAACTTCCTTAGTTTACTTTTCAAAAACATAACACTCCTCCAACGTAGCACTAAAAGACTTCTCCAACACTCTAATATAACACACTAAAAGACCCCTTAGTGTATTTTTTTCTAAACGTAACACTCCAACACTCCAACATAACACACTAAAACACTACTTAGAGTACTTTTACTAGCCATGTAACAACCCCATCGCGTAATATCTTACATTTAATTAATTTATGAGACAATCAATTGAATATGTAATTTATCGATGAAGATTTTGAAATTTAATTTAAAATTAAAGGCCTTAATGATTCAAGAAATCAAAATTAAGGTTGGAAATAAGTTTAATTTGATATTTTGAGCCTTTTGGGAGTTTAATTAAAAATCTGATCCGGCCTGATAAATTTAGATATAATTAATTGGGCTCTAATGGAAGTCAAACGAGGTTGATTAAGTTATAATGTGGAATTGCATGTTTAAAGTTGTGAATTATAAGGATTTGGAGTTGTATCTGTCGGTTATAAGAAAATCTATTGGAATCGTGACCTTTGAACTGGAAATTGAAGGCCTTAGAGGCGCGATAAACCGAAATTGACCACATATTTATGATCAGCATGATTTTTAGAGGCATCTGGAAAGTTTAATTGAAATTTGATTTCGACTGATTCGTTAAGCCATGTGTTGGCTCTTATTATTGGAGTAAGTTTTGAAGTTAGATATTTGTGAGGCAAGTGAGAGATATAAGTGCCGTAAGATCATATTTTGCTCATTGTTATCACCTGGGAGGAAAAATCTAGAGAGAAGAGAGGGAGACGAGGGAAAGAAGAAAAGCTTAAGATTGAAGAAGAAAGAGGAAGAAATTCAAGGATTGGAGCTAAGGTATGTGAATTCAACTTTAATCCTTGTAGATACTTCATCTATTGCATGAAATCAAGAAGAAATTTGAAGATTAAACACTTAAATAAGCTTGGGTTTGAGTTGTGGGTTCTTGGAGTTAATAGAACCTTATATCTTTTAAGTTTGTTAGATTTGAGAGTGAATTTCCTTATATTTGTTTACCTTGAAGTTGATTGTGAGAAGGAGAGCCTTAATCTTGAGGTTTTGTATGATTTTGGACTCTTAAAAATTATGTATGAATGAAAATCTATGTGAATTTGAAAAAAGAAGTTGTGAAAGGTTTGAAAAAGAATTAAACCAAGAGTCTTAATCTTTCTAGCTTGAGATTTCATCAAGTTATTGATGTTTGATTTGGAAAAGTAGGTTTAATCTTATGTTTTCCCTTGGTATAATATGTTTTGGGAGTGAATTTGATGAACCCTTTGTGAAAATGAAGCAATGGGGCTTGAATTAACAGATGTTTTCTCGGATTGGTCTTTTTCACCCAACGCCGCACGTGCGGCGGGGTTTACCGCACGCGCGGCAAACTATTCACAGAAGCCATTTTGATTCTGAAAAAAAGCACTTGTTCCCGCACGTGCCTTGATTTTCCCGCACGTGCGGAATCCTGTTTCAGCTCAACTTTAAATAGGCATATCTCTCTCATCCGGACTCCGTTTTAAGTGATTCTTGAGCCTAAATTCAATCCCCGGAAGTCTACTTTCTAATGGTGGTAGTCTCACATCCAAATTCTAAGTACACAAAAAGATATGATCAAATTAGTGACGGTTGTTCACTTTCTGTCTACCGGTTTCATGCCATTTTCGTTCCTAACTCAGTTTCCTTTCGTTTCTTCTTATTTTCCTAGACATGGATTATGACCTATTGAGGATTAATGAGTTTAGAACCAATATAACTAAGTGGTTAAAGAGCAAAGTAAGGGATCGGTTATTGATATATTGTGCTATGTGCATTGTGTTGTAGGTCAAGACGAAGATGTCGTCAACTGCTACCACACTACAACAAAAAAAGTCTTTGGTGACCGACTGATTTTGTCTCCAAACATCAAATTTTCGTCACTAAAGTGATCTGCGACGAAAAAAATTTGTCACCACGTTCGTGGCCTATACGTCGTCGCTGAAAGTAGCTGGTGATGAAAAATAGTTTTGTCGCCTATTTTTGATTTTTGACGACGAAATGTTTCATCTCCGAATGTTGAATTTTTCGTCCTCTATAACATCAATTTCGTCACCAAAACTAAATAATATTTTATTTTAATTGTTTTTGGCGACGAAATATTTCGTCACCAAATAGATTTTAGTGACAAAAGTTTTCCTCACCAATGATATGGATTAAGGTGACAAAAAAATTCGTCACTAAAATAAGCAGAAAAGAAAATTCTTTAATGACAAAAAATATTTTGTCACCAAATATTTCAATTTAGCGACGAAATATTCAGCAAATGTGACGAAATTATTTATTTGGTACTATATCATTAGTGACAAAATTATTCGTCATGTTTTTTGAAAGCTAATAGCAACATTTTTTATTTCGTCACTAATAAAAATTAAAAAAAATTGAAAATAGGGATACTATTTTCTTCCAAATTTTTTTCTTTTCAAAAACAATTCCCTGCGCATTTCAATAACCTGTTCAATAAAATATCTATTACAAATCAATACAAAAATCTATTCATTTTCATAAATATCACAATCAAATTTCAACACTATCCACAAAAATACAATATGAACTGCATGCGGATTATAAACATGTCTCATAATATCCACAAAAAACGTCTACTAATATCCACAAAAATATAATATCAACCGCATGCACATTACTAAACATATCTCCTAATATCCAACAAAATACATGTCTACTAATATCAACAAAAATAAAATATTAAGGTCGGATTACCCAACATGCCCTGTAATACCAACAAAAATATAAAATTTACAACACAACCAAAATATATGTAAGGTAATATGAACAAAAACACAAAATGAGCTACCATCTGCCCTCCAAATTACCAAACATGTCCATATCAAATCTCAAATCTGCAAAAAAATGAAACCAAAAAAAAAAAAATGCAAGTTAGACAATTATTATCTTATCCATAAAATATACAATTTAACATGCATTTTTCGAATTAGTTTTCAAATCGGGAGTCCGGTGTACGTTCCGTAAGTTTCCACAACTTA